TACCAATACCAATTTCTAGACATGGAATAATGGCGGTCAACTTTTTCAATGATTTCCTCCTCCTCGGAAGAATCATCGAATATTTCACGAACATAATTCACAATTGCAAAGTTAAAATTCATTTTACTTTTGAACACAAAACATCTAACCTATTTTCTTTCTTTGTCAAACGTCAGATTCCAGATTCTGAAAGCGTTCGTTTATAATTTGCTCTGTGAACTCTTAAAAATTCTGAATTCTCGCCCAATCCACTCCACTCCTAATCCGTAACAGTTTGCCGTGTCACTGGAGTGAAGTTCTTTTTTTATAGAGTATTAAATTAAATAATTTATAATACGAGTATACAATTTCGTAAATAACCTATTCTTTTTTGTTCAAAATAGTTGATAATGGCTGGAGAAGTAGTTGTAGATGCTTTGCCATATATTGATCAAGGATATGATGAACCAGGAGTTAGAGAAGCTGTTTGTATCATTGTATGTTCTAAACTAATTTTCTTATAGTAATATTTTAGGCATTTGCTATGGTTGAAGAAGAATGCAGAAGGTACAGACCTACCAAAAATTATTTAGAACATTTACCTCCGTTAAATGTTTCATCTTTTGAAACACCTATAATGCATAATGAGTTTGAAAGACTTCAAAATCGTTTACCCATGGAGACCCTTTCAATGAAGCGTTATGAATTACCTCCACCACCTACTGGCAAATTGAACGAAGTGAGTGCATGGATAGAATGTGTAGATAATTCACAGGCTCAGTTAGAACATCAAGCAGTAAGAATATTAAATTTACAACTTATGTTAGAATATTGTTGTCCAGCTTGGCAACGATATCTGCAGACATTAACAGATTCGGAAAAATTGGCCTCCAAAAAATTGGCAGAATTAAGGCAACAGTTACAAGAAGTCAACTGGCAGAGAAAGTCCTTACAAACGAAGGGAGGAGAACAGTTAAAGGGATTAGAAGCAAAATGGGTTGCTTTAGTTTCTCAAAACTATGAAATTGAACAGGCTTGTTGTTTGGCTGAAGAATATATAGCTCAAGTGAAACAGAATCCACAAGTCCTCAGTTATCAAAATTCACAAGTTCAGGGCGTTAATGGATAATATTTTTATTTTAAATAACTATAGTGATGATTTAAAAACATTAAATAAATCTGTTTTATATTTTATAAGGTGATTTGTATTCCACTAAATAAAAAAAAACTGGGATATCAGAAAACCTACAAATAGATACATTTGTTTCTAATTTTCGAATATTATTGTTATAATAATATTTTGTTTTAATTTGAATTGCGAAATACATTTATTTACAATTTTGTGGGATTGGAATACTGTAATTAAACGGTATATATTTCAAATTTCCGCACCCATTAAATTACATTAATGTTGAAAACTAGTGGACTACCCAATGAGAGAATCTCATTTTTGAGATAACGTTCAAATTTTATCTACACAGGGTGTTATTTATTAATTGAATGCCGATAGTTAAGGGTGTGAATCCTTGGGTCATTTTAAGAAGAAAACAAGATCAACATATGTCCTAAACCTCTTAATTTTTGAGCTACAGGGTGTTACAGTTTTAAGAAAATATTTACTTTTTTATTATAATTTTCTTATCACTTCAGATATTTTTATGAAATTTTGTACACACCTATTAATCATTAAGGAACATTGTTTGATGTAAAAAATGTTTTAAAATCTTTGCCAATGACGTCCGTACGAGGTTTGAACTAAACATTTTTGAAGAAAAAAATGGTACGCCACTGCTTTTTCTAAAAACTAAAATTATTTTTAAAATCTCCATTTATTTTACAGCAAATTCGGTCCCTAGACTTACTCTCGTACGACGCACCATTTGCACGTAAAAAAATGAAAACCAAAAAAAGTTTTTTCCCCAAGTTCATTGAGACTGCTTTTGATATTTTGTTGCCATTTTGTAGACACCCACCATGCGTGGAAACACTTTTTGTGGGGCAAAAATTAATTTTCTACTTTCACAAATGACGTTCACGTAGGCATAATATTAAATGTTTGGATAGAAAAAACGGTAAGCTCATTAAATGCCCCCTTAAAGCAAATGAAATAAAAATTAGTAGGCTGGGTAAAGTGTCATAATTTTTGACGCTTCTTTTCGCAATAAAGTTGACATTGATTTTTCATTATTAAAAAATTATTAGAGTAGGAGGTAAAATCTCATAAAAAATGGTAAATTTTACAATCGGTGAATTAGCTGACATGCATT